ATCATCTTGGAGTGTCTGGAAATGTCCCATCAAGAGTTTTAACAGTATGTGGTGGATTGTTTTGCTGCGAGTCCTGCCTGCCATTTTGTTCAAAATTGAAGTTAATTGGATGTGAGGTTGTGCTTGTGCACTGCTTGGATTAAATTTTGGTTAGCTGTTCACAGCATGTCATATGTGAAGCCAATATTCGCTAAATATATATATATATATATATATATAGGTTTTCTTTTGGGTCGAAGTAAGGATTTTTCTTCCTTGAAGAGTACGTATGAAGAAGCTCAAGATTAGCTTGTAGGTATACAAGAAGAAAGCCTCTCACAAGTTGGGAGGATTCGTTGGCCTAGTGAACATATCACTGCTTATAACAAAACCAAACAAGAAACAGTGACCTCAACCTCAAGGGGATTGGCTACAATAATAAATATAACTGAGGTGGCTGTTTTTACCTATCTTCCTTGTTTTTTGGGGCATTAGATTGCTTATTGTCACTTGCCAAAAAAAATATTGCTTTGGCGGGATTCACTTGAAGTAGTCTGCACTTATATTATTTTTCAAACTTGTCTATGCTCAGTTTGCTTGCCGTGGGTCTAGTTAGTGCCTTTAGGTTGGGTTTAGCCTTGGACGTTGGACCACATCAAGGCTATAGAAGTTTGAAGGGAGTATTTGAAACGGGATGTCGTGGGGGATATATCTACTAATTGTGTCATTGGCTGGTGGTATGAAGTTCATTATGAAGAACTTTTGGTTTTATTTTTTTCAAGAGTGGGGACTGAGGAGGATTGATTGCTGTGGAATCACATTCTTTGGTAGATGTGCTACCAAAATATATGTGAACTCCATTAATGATATCCAATCTTAGGGAATGGCAGTAGAATGATATTTTATTTCTCCTAGTTGTGCAATATTGTCTGTGTAAACGATTTTTTCTTCTTGATGCACATATCTGGTGAAGGACCTTATTAAACTACATTAAGCCTTCCATGAACACTGCCTATGTTGGTATGATTGTGTTCATTGCTTTCGCTAATTCACCTGATGTATGTCTGAGACTGATTTTATTGAATATTGACAGCACATAATCATTGATGGGTTGTTGTTGATGGGGTCACCAGTGATGACAACCATGTGCTTGTAGAATGTAGAAAACATTGAGCCTCTTAGTGACTCACTGAGAAATAGGAAATTGAACTGGCTGTGAATTGAAATGTTATAAAATGGTTAAAATGTCATGTACACGTGTCTTCCAGCAGTTCTCTTACGTGGCAGTGTGATATTAACTTAATTGCTTAATGATTATGTTGCCAAAGCCCAAAGGCATGACGGGAGGTGCTCTCTTGCATGCGTGCCATACTCGGGCATAATTTCTTTGTTGAACACATTTGTTAGTTCCTATCTGCTATTATTTGTAGCATTCTGCACAAATCAAGCATTTTTTTTTTGTTTGAAAATGGAGTTGCTTTTGCGGGTATAGCATTCTGTATGTGGGTAATCCATTCGGGTATATTATGAACTTGTGTAACTTTTGAACTCATGTTACCCAAGGTTAAGTTCATCTGTTTCCTTGGCAGATCTGGGACACAGCTGGCCAGGAAAGATTTCAGAGCCTTGGTGTAGCTTTCTACCGTGGTGCTGATTGTTGCGTCCTTGTTTATGATGTTAACGTGATGAAGTCCTTTGATGATCTAAACAATTGGAGGGAAGAATTCCTTATTCAGGTGCACCATGTGTTTTTGGTTTAAAGAGTACCTACTGTGTTGTTTTTTTTTCAAAATCATTTTCTTTCTTCTATTTTATAGTTTCATTTCCATCTTCTCATGAGGGTTGACAAATTCTAATTTATTTTGCTCCTTAGGTTAATGATTACTGTAAAACAACATAATCAATCTAAATAGAGCTGATCTTTGTTAAGGAGGCATAAGCTGATCCCAAGTGGTTTTTTGATTAAGGTTTTTTTTTCTTGAGTTCATTGCCTGGTGTCCCTAGGGTAGGGTTTGATTTTCAGAGTGATGGAAGGGCTGTCAGTTGGTGGATGTGTGTGTGTGAGAGAGAGAAAGAGAGCAACATACTTGGATTACCATCAACTTCCATGAATGGTTTGGGGTTGTCCGTGGAGGACTTGCAGTAGGAAGGGGGAAAAGCAGTGAATAGGAATATTAAGGGATAGATGAAGGTTTCAGTGATTTCTGTTGTAAATGAGGGGTATTTTTAGTGGTGGGTGGATGAGATGAGAAATTTCTGCAAAGGTTGAGCTGTACAACCACATTGGTTGAAATGCCTACGTGAAGTTTCACGGTATGGAGGACATTTGTCTGGATCTTGGAAAAATTCTATTGAAAGTGGCAGAGGATGTGTACAGATCCCTCACATTCTCCAAAAGGTTGTGACATTGTGCACAGGGTTGGGCACAACACCTTGACAGGTCCTCCAGTCCAAACCATATACTTTTTGAGTTTCTGGGTCACACACAGGCCAATACACAGTCACAAGGGCTTAGCCAATGGGCACAGTACCTTTATGTGACAGTACTCTAGGCCTCGTTCTCTAAACTTAGGAAGATAGGGATCCTGGTAGCAAAGGGTGACACACAATGCCACATTACATACCGTGGGTGTTTATGCTGGGTAGCGAACAAACATGCCTACCTAAGCATGAAGCACCATACCAAAGGGGTGTTGCGTTGTGGATCAGGGGTGAATTGGGAGTCGCCATGGGAAACAGACCACCGTGCTTACTATACATAGGAAAAAGTGGTTAGCCGCTCTGGACAAGATTCTGTGCCTATTCGAGTTCATTGAAGAAAAATATTGCAGCGTTAGTTCTTGCTTAGCTCTGACCTCCGAGCAGTGGCAGAGCTATGATATGGCCAAGGGGGGCCATGCCCCCTCAAGTTTTTGAATATGCATTATATACCTCCTAAATTGCATTTTCATTTCACTTCACATATCTTTTATAGTTTGTAAAATTATAATTCATACCCTAAAATTATTATATTGATTTTCTTTTAGGCTTTCACTATTGATTTGAGTATATTGCCTACTTAATCATTCAAAATAGCCTCGTAAATTATTATTATCAAAAAGTTTAAGATTTGTACAAGATACCATAAATTTGAACAATTGATGGTGCAACAAATTCAAATTAATAATTGATGGGTAAAGTAAAATCAAGATTATAATTTAGAAGTACAAAGTATAACTCACCCAAATTCTTTATATATGGACCAAAGCTATATAGAATGTTTATTGGAGAAAGACTTCCTAATATATTTGTGTTTTACTGGTCTTTTGTTCTGCTCCCTAGAACCCCTAAGTTGGGACAGATTAAATACAAATAACTACACAATGATTTGTTATTTGATGTAAACAAAATCCAGGACAAGTTCATTAGACAACCAACAAATTAATTTAACAAGATTAATTTCCACTATTTTATTGAAAATAAAAATACTACATCTCGTAAAAATTTGTTTTGATAGATTCTATATACCAAAAAATTTGATATGAATGACAATTTATTGAATGACCCTCTATTAAATAAATTTTTTTAGATACACCTTTATTTGGCCCCCTTTAGGAAAGAATCCTGGCTCCGCCCCTACCTCCGAGTGTGGCCAACATGTCAGAGTGTTATAAGGCACCTGACTATTTCCATCTTGGAGTGGGGCCAAGTCATGTGCCATGATTTCAGCGGATATCTAGAATTTCCTTATGTCCGTGCAGTTCTTATGAACAAAAATAAAAAGTATATATTAGGCCTCTCAGACATGGAGCTTAATTTATTTGCTACATGCATCAAGGATTGCTGATTGTGGTTGCATAAAAGGTATAGATGGGGCAGCCATTTCTGCTCCCTAACTTGCTTTCTCACTCACCTTGAAAGATTTAGACAAGTTTGCCCTTCAAGTCAATGGGACTTGCAACTACTATCTGATTCTCATCCTCGTTCCAGTGTTATCTATCTGCACCTTTGACTTAAACGGGCATCACAACCTTCACATAGCTCACAATTTTTTATGATTGGTGTCATGAAATGGTTGATGACTTCAAGATTGAAGCAAACATAATCTGTGATGAACAATACCATCTGCACGGCAGAAGCTTGAGTTTAATTGCAGGGATGCATTCACATAGAACGGTTGTGGCCAAACTACATTGTAATTAAGGGTTTCAATGAGCAGGATTATTAGAAAGAAAGAAGCAGTGAAATGGTGGTTTTGTTCCTCCATACATCACTTCCTCTCGTTCTTCTATTTTCTAGAAACAAACTCTTATTTTCCTGTAGGAATTTTGATTCATGCAAAAGAGCATTGAAAGTTGAAGGCATGAATCTTCTTAAGATTAGACTTATTGTGATGTCATCATGTGGCAGCTTGTAAATCTTCAGCACCATTTCACCTCGGGACAAAAAAATGTGCACCTTAAATAAAACAATACACATGATATGGGTTGTGTTCCGTACCGGGAGGCCGTGGGCTTCACCTTTTCTTTTGTTTGAGGAAAAGGAACTCCATGAAAATGCTTTGGTGATGTGGTATCATTGGCTTCGGCACCAGTGACATAGAGTTCAAGTGCATTGGTGAGATGGGATCATTAATAGTATTTGTAGTTGTGTCCGTACAATAAAGCAGCACTAAACATCCCAGGAGGTTTGGAGATTGGAATTTTTGTGGTGCGTATGCGTTCAATAAAGGTGGATTGAAGAAGATGAAATAGTTTGGGAATTGGCAGAGAATGATTCTTTGTATCCACTTTGTGGTTTATGGCCTCTGATAAAATTGAAAACAATTCTTTCTATTCACTTTAGGGTTGCTAGTATCCAAATACCACAGGAAGGAGTGGATAAGCACGATAGGGAGTGGAAATAGCTCCATATATGGTGTTACAATTTGCAAGTGGAAATAGCCCCTATATGGTGTTACTATTTGCAAGTACAGATTATGCACAATTTACTTTAACAAACTTCATCCTCCGCTATTTTTACCGTAACTAGTTATTTAAAAAATGAAATTGTTATGGGCTGATGGTCTAAGATTTTTCTCGCAGGCAAGCCCATCAGATCCAGAAAATTTCCCATTTGTTGTTTTGGGAAACAAGGTTGATGTGGATGGTGGAAATAGTAGAGTGGTATGTGTGTACTTGATTGTTACGATGTTCATTGGTACTTTTAGTTCTTGAGGTTCGTATGATTTGCACTTCCTTTTGATATCAAGATGCTGCTCTTTGTGGACTTTTGCAGGTGTCTGAGAAAAAGGCTCGGGCTTGGTGTGCCTCGAAAGGTAATATTCCATACTTTGAGACATCTGCCAAGGAGGGTATCAATGTTGAAGAAGCATTCCAATGCATAGCAAAGAATGCCCTGAAAAGTGGTGAAGAAGAAGAAATGTAAGTTGGACAGAATAAACCATCTCTTGAAAGACATAAACCATCATATGTATTTTTTACAGTAAATGGGAGCATATAGTGTTAAGACTGCTGATTGCCTCCTCATACTGCGTGATTTACTCCCATTACATGATGCTAAGATATATTCTCCATTTTTAATTTTATGTGTTTCTTTGGAAGTCCTTTAATCCCTTCTTATTTGGCTGTCACCAGCAGCGCATCTTTGAAATTTTTTATGCTACTGTGTAGAAATCGAATAATGCACGGGAGATGTCATCTGAAAAGAGAAAAGTTTCATAGGGACTTTCTCCGGTTGTGTTGTGTTGATTTAGTATTGGACGGTGACCCCACTTCTTTATATGGGGTAGTTATTTTCTTACAGGGATAGAGTAGTTGCTAAATCATGTGGGTTTCACTTGCCTACATGTTGGTAAAGAATACTGAATCATTACGAGGCCGTTGTCATCTACACTGAAGAGAATTGAGGAGCAAAAGTGACAAAATAACTACCCAGGATCCTCCAACTGGGGGCATTTGATTAAATGTAGATTTAGGGTATGAATCCCCTAAACATAGCTTTAGGCAGTCCAAATTCTTTGTAACCGTGATCAAAATTGAACGTTTGGAGTTTCTAAAGTTATTTTTTGAGTGCCAATAACAGCTACCTTTTGGAAAATTTTATTCTGTTCACATGAGATATGTGTTCCTGCTATCTTTGTGCCTAAATACTATTGCAGTTCTTGGGCTATCCCGTGATTAGAAAGTGAGAAAAATGCACATTCTCTGGAATTTCAAAGCCAAATGACTTCTTAGAACAAACTGCTTTATCTTTATGGTGGATATATGACACTTGCCTGATTTTTTGTTTTGTGTTTCCGGTGCTGTATTTATATGTAATCAAGATACTTGCCCGACACCATTGATGTTGCAAGCAGCAGTCAGCAGAGGTCGACTGGATGCGACTGCTGACCAACAGTTTTGGATTTCAGATTTGCGGCAAAAATTGTATGTTTTGTACGGGGCTGCAGACTGGTATCACAATTCTGGTTGAACTTGGTTGTATGGAGCCTTGTGTGTGTGTACTACTTCAGTGACGGGATTGCATTTGATTTCTTCATAAGCCCTTTATTGGTGAGAAAGATCATGTATTTTCATAAGCCCTTTATTTGTAAAAGATCATGTGTTTTTATCATCTTTCAGTACGTTGGAAAGGACACTTTTTGGAATAAATTATCAAATTACCGTTGTTTCAGTAGAACGTGACTTAATCTGCATTTACCAAAACTTTTACCACATTTTATACCCTCTTTTGGTAAGCATAGTTTCATGAAACTTTTGGCAAGCTGGTAATAGAGACGAGTTATAACCACAGATATCTTTAGTTCAAATTTTGATCATTCTTTGAGGTTAATTCCTCATGAATACTATAGTCTCGACGTAGATGATTTATTTTTGATCAAATCAAAGAGGGATTAGTCAAGGTGAGCGTAGATTTGTCTGGATAGAATTTAGGAGAAAAAACAAGAAGAAACTTTTGGTAAGTGTAGTATGAGTCGAATTTTAAAGCAATTGTTCATTCCCTAGAAGCTCCAGGAGGACTAAAATATTTGAAGCTTTCGGCATATGTCATGGCACTGTTGAAATTGTGGGTTTCAACTCTTTGGAAAGAGATAGACTGGTGGTGGGATGGATAATGGATTTATTTGGGTTCAATATAATTGATGTTGGGTTTGAAGTAGGTGGTGCTATTGTTGTGTGGAGGTGGGTGTGCTGTTGTGTGGTCCTTCTGGTGGTGTATGTGGATGCATATCGGTGGTTTGGTGGGTTAGGACTGACTGTTACTTGACCTTAACCTACAAGGAATTTTTTGTAATTCTAAAACCTAACTGGATATAAAGAATTTTTAATGAACCTCAAGGTGAGTCATTTTAATTTTCGTCTATCTCTGTCGTTTGTATTTAACATTCAATAAGTATATTGTCATTTTGTATCAATTAGCAATTTTTTTAACTCTTTTTGGTATGCTCACAATATAATACTAGTGTCATTAGCAATTTTAAGAAGGATTGGTTGATCGAATTGATTCGACAAAAACAGTTTTTTTATCTTTTTTTAAAAGAAATATTGTACCCAACATAATGTGCATGCAACATCGTCGTTTTCAGACAGATCTTAAACCCTCTTGCAATTTGAGGTTTTTTCTTTGGGCACATTCATGTATTCTCTATTTTAAACAGTTTCTTTGATAAAAACATAAATTTACTATAAAGACAAAAAAAAAACCATGCAACTTCTATTTCATCACCACTGTCGCACACTTCTTTATTAAGTAAACATAATCACACACTTTACACCAGATATTTACACAAACATGGACCATCTTCTTCTCACATGGCATTGAAATTGTAGACTCCAATGCATTAGACTAAGTCTTAAGAATATAAACCTTTGGGCTTGGATCGAAATCTCCAGCCAATGGCTTCTCTTATTTTAGATTACCATCATCGTGGGATTAGGTCTTGGTTCAACTTCTTTCACCAAAGACTTGTCTTCCATTGGCAAGGCATCGGCGTAGGATCCATAACTTTTAGGATTAGATCTTGGTTCAAATTCTTTCACCAATGAATTCTCTTCTTCCATCAGCATGACATCGGCGTAGGATTTGTAGCTTTTGGGATTAGGTCTTGGTTCAAATTCTTTCACCAAAGAATTCTCTTCTTCCATGGGCATGACATCGGCGTAGGATTTGTAGCCTTTTGGATTAGGTCTTGGTTCAAATTCTTCCACCAACGACTTGTCTTTCGTCGGCATGATATCGGCATAGGATTTGTAGCCTTTAGGATTAGATCTTGGTTCAAATTCTTTCACCAACGATTTGTCTTCCGTCGGCATGACATCGGTGTAGGATTTGTAGCCTTTGGGATTAGGTCTTGGTTCAAATTCTTTCACCAAAGAATTCTCTTCTTCCATCGGCATGACATCGGCATAGGATCTATAGCCTTTGGGATTAGGTCTTGGTTCAAATTCTTTCACCAACGTCTTATCTTCCATTGGCATGGCATCAGCATAGGATTTGTAGGCTTTGGGATTAGGTCTTGGTTCAAATTTTTTCACCAAAGACTTGTCTTCTATTGGCATGGCATCAACATAGGCTCCGTAGACTTTGGGATTAGGTCTTCGTTCAAACTCTTTCACCAACAACTCACTTTCCATTGGTTGAGTATCGCCATAGGATCTGTAGCTTTTGGGATTAGATCTTGCTTGAAATTCTTTCGTAGAAAGTTGATCTTTTGTATTCTCAAAATTCCCAACAAGCTTATCATCGTTGCTTGTCTCCATTGGTGTTTGACAATCGGTTTTCTTATAAGATAGAGGTACTTCCCTACCCTTGCGGATAAGATTTTGAATTATTTCTGGCATGGGTTGATCTTTCATGACACCTTTCCAGTATTCTTGAGAGTCGGGTCTTGCATCTATAATGCTTGCAAACTGCTCAAGAACAAAAAACACAGAGAGAGAGGGGGGGGGGGGGGGTAGAGAGTCAGAAGTACTTATAGTCTTAGTATGAAGATGGTAGACTCACCATGCTAATATTACATAAATAGCATAAATTAGCTAAGTTCATTGTCCCAAATTATGAGTTTGCATGAAGTAAACAATAGGATTTTGAGTTGAATCATACTTACCAGGACAAGTGAGAGGAGAGCCAAGAAAGCAGAAGTTGATCCCATGGTTTCAATACAGAAACTGATAAATTTTTTGATCTGTTTGATTGCATGGAATCTCTAAAAATCTATGCTATTTATAGATCAAGTGTCATATATCTTACTATCAATTGAAACCTCAAGATTCAAGGTAGAACCTAAATATAGAAATATAATAGCCACTTGGTGATAGAGACCCCTGCTTTTGAAATCAAGTAAGTAACAATGAATTGAATGATTGTACAATGTTAGATATAGTATAAGCAACAAGACTTCAACTATTATAAGTAGTAATGAATTCACATGATTGAAGAAGAAGTGTCACTAGATTCGATACTTGATTTGACATTGACAATGAATTGTCACAAGAGACGTTTGGAGGTCGAAGATGAATTGTCACCAAAGTTAAAAAATTGTGTGGATATTGAAGATGAATTGTCGCAAGACTTGACAAATTTATTTGGAGGTTGAAGATGAATTGTTATCAAAGATTAAAACTTCATTTGAAGGTTGAAGATTAATTTTCACTAGAATTGAATATTGATTTGGAGGTTAAAGATGAATTGTCACCAAAGTTTAAAAATTCATTTAACGGTTAAAGATGAATTGTAGCAAGAGTTGACAATTCATTCGAAGGGAGAAGATGATTTTTTGCTAAAATTGAATATTATTTGAAGGTTAAAGATGAATTGTTGCCAGAGTTTAAAATTTCATTTGGAGGTTGACGATAAATTTTCACCAAAATTGAATATTTATTCAGAGGTTGAAGATGAATTGTCACCAAAGTTTAAAAAATTATTTGGAGGTTAAAGATGAATTGTAGAAAGAGTTGACAATTCATTTGGAGGTAGAAGATGAATTTTCAATAGAATTGAATATTCATTTGGAGATTAAATATGAATTGTCACCAGAATTTAAAATTTCATTTGAAGGTTGAAGATAAATTTTCATCAGAATTGAATATTGATTTAGAGATTGAAGATGAATTGTCACCAAAAATATTAAAATTCATTTAGAGGTTAAAGATGAACTGTAACAAGAGTTGACAATTTTATTCGGAGGTAGAAGATGAATTTTTGCTAAAATTGAATATTCATTTGGAGGTTAAAGGTGAATTGTCACCAAAGTTTAAAACTTTATTTGGAGGTTGAAGATAAATATTCATCAGAATTGAATATTGATTTAGAGAATGAAGATGAATTGTCATCAAAATTTAGAAATTCATTTGGAGCTTAAAGATGAATTGTAGCAAGAGTTGACAATTCATTTGGAGGTAGAAGATGAATTTTCACCAAAATTGAATATTCATTTGGAGGTTAAAGGCGAATTATCACCAGAGTTTAAAACATCATTTGGTGGTTGAAGATATATTTTCATCAGAGTTGAATATTGATTTAGAGATTAAAGATGAATTGTCACCAAAATTTTAAAATTCATTTAGAGGTTAAGGACGAATTGTAACAAGAGTTGACAATTTATTTGGAGGTAGAAGATGAGTTTTTGCTAAAATTGAATATTCATTTGGAGGTTAAAGTTGAATTGTCACCAAAGTTTAAAACTTTATTTGGAGGTTGAAGATAAATTTTCATCAGAATTGAATATTGATTTAGAGATTGAAGATGAATTGTCACCAAAATTTAGAAATTCATTTGAAGGTTAAAGATGAATTGTAACAAGAGTTGACAATTCATTTGGAGGTAGAAGATGAATTTTTACCATAATTGAATATTCATTTGGAGGTTAAAGGGGAATTGTCACCAGAGTTTAAAACTTCATTTGGAGGTTGAAAATAAATTCTCATCAGAATTGAATATTAATTTGGAGGTTAAAGATGAATTGTCACCAAAGTTTAAAAATTCATTTGAAGGTTAAAAATGAATTGTAGCAAGAGTTGACAATTCATTCGAAGGTAGAAGATGAATTTTTGCCGAAATTAAATATTAATTTGGAGGTTAAAGACATCACGCCCCATCCTGGTCTCTCAAGGATGAGACGCGACTAGGTTTTTAATACTCATGTTTACAATTATTATAATTTAGACTAATCAAAAATTAAATAATCTCAAAGGTGCAACAACACTCATCACCTTAGTCATTAAGCATGATGCTAAAACCTGTTACATATATAAAGCACATGTACTAATTGTTTGTTTCCCAGGTTATAGACATATACAAAATCTCACACTCACATAGCATATATCACAAAATATGTTTGTTGAGTCTATTTACAAATATATACTATTAAACTGCCATAATAACCTCTCATAAATATAATATACAACCCAACAAGTAGTCATATCGACACTCAACCTGAATGATATCACACTAACGTTGTACAAGACTCAGTCGACTAGATAATGGACCGGTTTGCATTCTCCTTTATAGTACCTAAAAAAAAACTGTAGAGGTGTGAGCTAAACCACGCGCTCAGTGAATATACATGTTGTATATGAAATAGAAATGATAGTAATACATTGTAGTAGGTAGATACTATGTAAATAGACGTATCAAACAATCCACACTACCCCTCATTAGGTAATCGATCCCACATGGATCTATGTCTCTCAAACCTCCCAAGAACACCCCAGTGTTAGCACACCACTGCACGCCCAATGATCGGGTATCGACGCCCCTATCTTAAATAGTGCATCATATTTCACAATACACAATACACAGTACAAAGTATCATCTAGTCACATAAACACATAGCACATAATCATGAAGAAATGCTATTAAATTTTATCTTTTACTATCATATTATAATAGTATTTCAAAACATATAAAAATATACACCCACCTTAAATATACAAATCTACGACCCTTCGGTCCTATCGGTGGATTCTTCCGGCGTTACCGTATCTATTCCAACACCGACTGTCTCACCCTTTCCACCTAACACATTTTTAATTATAATATCAATATGTTTATTACATTTATTAGTCAATTATGCACTAATGCATGTAAAATGATGTACCTCAAAGTGCTCAAGTAATTCCGGTTACCATACTATCCACTCACACACTAGCACTTTTATTCTAGGGATCACATTTTCTCCCTAAATTTTTAAAATTACTCACATTAATCATAATTAGGATTAAGTAGGTCAAACACATTGATCAGGGGTCTATTTCTACACATTTCGACCCCGAATCTTAAAAACTGTATTTCTGACATTTCATACATTTCGCACTGGATATTATACTCATTTGCATTCAAAAGTCACATTATCACATCAAGAATCATTTTAAAATGCTACATGTAAAATTTCAGGTCATTTGGATTAAAATTCGCATATGTGATAATAACATTTAGAAATCAAGGTTTCAGCGTTACCGACACCATTTCCTAACATCTATCGCATTTTTTCATTTTAAAACAGCCACACTTAACTCACACACACATCTAAGCATGCAAAAGCCCCTTATTTGAACCCTTAAACCACCCATTCCAATTATTTTTCAATAAAACATCGAATTTGAAATGTTACAATCACTCCTCTACTTTCACTTAACTTTAAATTAACACAAGTATTTTCTGAGAGGTAACCAGGTGCTCTACTTTATGCCAATGGAAATATCTATGTTTCTAGTTTCCAACCCAACAAACGGTGCATCGTTTCGAGTTTTTTAGAGAAAGTTATTACTATTCCACTACAAGGTATACAGTTTGCCTTTTTAAGACGAATATAACTTTTAACCTTCCTATTCTTCCAAAACTTCACCCAAATTCCCTCAAATGCATTCTAAAGTGGTTACCCACAAGCATCTGAGTGTAACCACACTTCAATTTATTTGTTTAGTGTAATTTAAATGCACTTCTCTAATATAAGCTACACACCCTACTCAAATACGTGAATTCATTTATTAACTTATGCCTTCATGAAACCATAACATGAAACTTTTATTCCTACTACTATAGCTTTCCTTGTCCAGCTTACTATACCTTCGTATATAAAAAAAATAAAGGCCTAAAATAATGTAAAGATTCTAGTATCATAAGCTGAAAATTAAAGCTCACATATTAATCTAGCTACATGGTTGATTAATCACGAAGAACTATGTTTCAATAACTATATTAGATAGAGTGGTCATTACTTATGAATCATCTCCTAAGTCATTTATTGTACATCATAAATCATGGAATTTAGATTATCTCTATAACTCTTAAAATAAAACAATCTCCTTAATTTTGCTGTAATTGAATAATAAAATGAAATTGAACATTGAAGATAACTTGCAGCAAGTTTTGTGCAAAAACCAACTCTATTCACAGTTTGAGCAAGAAACCCACCAATTCTCTCCTTCCTTGCTTTCGGTTTAACACATACACACACATATATATATTTTTTTTAGTTTCTACTCTCCTTCTCTCTCGATTTTTCTAGCAAAGCCAGAACACACACACACACACACACTATTTTTATCTTTGAGACACACACACACGGCTACACTTGAGTTACACACTCACACACACAGCCACTTACCAGGGTATCAGAATAAGGAACTTATTTCATAATAGATGTGCACAATATACAGAAGGAAATGGGCCCGTGGCTCCAAAAAATTACAAACCTAACTCGAGGAAAAGCCACAAAGAACCAGTTCTCCTAACTATCTAGCTACTATGAATAAGTCATTGAAAATGTTAATGTCGTAATGGTCATCAAGGCTGCACTGTTCAACCCTATTTTGATTTGCAGAATAATAGTCAGGTTTAGGGGCGGCTCAACGAGATTAAAAAAAAAAACTTGGACTTTGAGCCCCATAATTTTAGGTATATTACTAACAAAGAAAAAATTTAAAATTTTAAAATTTTAATCACTAAAAAAAGGGCCCCAAAAAAATTAGGTACAGTCAAAATTTTGTGGGTTCATGATCCAATTCAAAACATTAAAAACCTAAAAAAAAAAAAATATTTAAAAATCAATTCATATTTACCTTACTCACTCTCTCTCCGAAAAAATAAGTAAAAGACATTAAAAAAAATTAAAATTAAACACTTTTTCTGGTAAAAAACAAAACAAAAGTATAAACATTTTTTCTCAATAACATTAGAACGTCCTACCTCTGTCTCTTCTCTCACATGATAAATTAATATTAAAAAAAAAAACCCTCATTTAGTGTTTTCGCTTTAGACCTCAAATTTTCTTGAACTACCCCTGGCCAAATTGTCCACTACCAAATAACGTGAAGCTACCAACAAACTATTGACCCAATGGATAAGAATTTAAATTTCATCGCTTAATATTTGGATTCAAAACACTATAGTTATGACAGCTCGTTGAGGTTAAACTTACTTTTCAACGCTCAGAACATGCGGTGGACCTTAGTTTCGGCCCCGACGCAAGTGCGGTGGGGTCCTTCGTAAATAGTTGTGTGGTGCTAAGAGACAACACTCTCTGACAGATATGTGAAGTGGTCTATATGTATATCCACTTTCAGAGCCAAAAAAAATAATGATGTGGGAGCTGGGCATTTCCTTGGTTCTTAAAGCAAGCTAAATATTACTGAAGTCAATGGCATATAATAAGTCTCATAGCATAGAAAACAATATAAATATTATTGAAGTCTTAGCTTCTTATACTATATCAAATGTTGGAAAATCGTGCAAGTTTAATCTTACTTGCTCGATTCCGAATGCAGTGACCTCTATCACCAAGTGGCTGTTTATATTACCAATTTAGAATTGCCAACTTGAATCTTGAGGTAGGTTTCATCATGTGATAAGATACTTGGCAATTGATCACCTATAAATAACATAAAAGTTTTACAGTTTACATACACAATTGAATAGTTTTGAAGAGATGGAATCAGCTGCTTCTTTCGTCCTTCTTCTCTCACTTGTCCTGGTAAGCATAAGCATAAGCATAAGCCACTTCAAAATTCATTACAATATACTTCAACCCAAATCAAAACTCAAGACAATGAACTTAGCTAATTATCATTACATTTAACAGTTGATTCCGATTGTTGTAAAAGGTATGTATGATTGTTGTTACAGAGCTTTCAAGTTTAAAGAGGCTTCACTTTGGGAAGCATATAGATTTCAGCTTCAAGAGCACCCATTTAAAGTTTGTTGTCATTGCATTTAGGTGAGTTTCATTGTATTTTTTGCAGTGTGCCCATAGAAGTGGAGCCAGGGAGATGACTAAAAAACATTGGAGAGAGTCAACAGTGATTGATGATAATCACCCTAATGTTTTGCGGCTTCATAGCATGGATGTTCATATCAACCATGACAATAATGTCCATGATAAGCAAGATAACGACGCTAACCGAGAAATACATACAGAGCATGTCCATGCCTATCCATCATCGAACATGGATCATATGGACCCTTCGTTGTTCGTGTTCTTTCGTATGGAGGATCTAAAAGCAGGGAAAAAAATGGTGATCTATTTTCCACACTTGGACCTTTCTAAATCTCCCAAGTTTTTGCCCAGAGAAAAAGATGATGCCATTCCTTTCTCATCAAGAGAACTCACAAACATTCTTCAACTCTTCTCCTTCTCCCAAAGCTCTCCTCAAGCTGAAGTCATGGAAGATTCTCTTCAACACTGCGAGTTCAAGCCTATTGAAGGAGAGACCAAGATCTGTGCTACTTCCTTAGAATCAATGCTTGATTTTGTGACTAGTGTTTTGGGATTAGAGAGCCAAATCGAAGTTCTAACCATTACTCACCTCACTTCTAAATCCAAATCCAATACCCTTGTACAAAACTATACTGTCTTGGCAGAACCCAGAGAAATATCAGTTACCAATTTGGTGGCTTGTCATAGACTGAGTTACCCTTATGCAGTTTTCAACTATCATCGTACAGAAACGAAGATTAGGGTATTTAAGATATTACTAGCAGGTGATGAGGATGGAGCTAAGGTGTAGTCGTTGTTGTTTGTCACATGGACACCACTAAATGGAACAGAAATTATGTGGCCTTCCGTATGCTCGGCATTGAGCTGGGGATCCCTGTATGCCACTTCTTCCAAGCAGATCATCTTGTATGGATTTCGTCGCCTACTTTTTGATCATTAATGGGACATTTCCAAATACTCCAAGATGAAGACACGTGTCCTCGACATTAGTAAATTCTTGTTACTGTGATCACGACACGTACTCGTCGGTGCACAAGTCCCTCTTCCCCTGAGGTACCGTTCAGAGGGATCAATGACACCCAATACGTTTACGTACCGACACATATCCCTCGGTCGGATATGGGGTTCATCGGTCCCTACATGTACCACTCCCCTCGGTACCGAGATGTACCCGTCCAAGATGACGCTCTCTGCTCCTGTAGAAGCTATTGATGTACAGGTCACTAGCCTAGGCTAGGCTAAGTTAGTCATCATAATCTCGTCTTACATAATTGGTGTCAGAAGGCACAAGAAACCAGAAGTCACAACCAATGGGGAATGAGCGCATGACATATTGTGTCAGATCAGAGACAAAAAGACGAGATGCCTTTGCTGACACATGACTTGGGAAAACAAGCATTTAGTGCACCATTCCCTTGATGAGACATCATTTAATGCAGGAAGGCTCGGAAGTGAAAGGTAATAAATGTCCCTATGACTGGGCATTTATTACATTCTTGCCGAGAGAAGCTCATTAAACATTCGGCAGGCCAATGACGAAGCATTGGTTGCTCGGGGTCCCGAGCAGTTAAGAGAGAAGACATTCCTCATAGGAATCAATGCGCACGTTGCCCGTATCTAATGATCACCTACTGACCACACTGACAGCAATCATGAGTTTTTAAGGTATAAATACTCCTCATAAAAGGCAAGACGGTATGCAACAAAAAAACCTTTTTCTCAAAGAAATACAGTATTTTCTCATTCCCATATCTCAAAGAACTGACTTGATCGTCGGAGGGGATACGCTGGAAAACACTCTGACGCCCTCCTAACTTATTTTCTTTCTGTTTCAGGAAGCTCCCTCAGCCTTACTGGACCGCTCCGTTGATCCACGAAAGTCACCCATAACCGTTCCAGGCCACCACCGGACCTCACAGTCTGTTCGAGCAGCAAGGTTGACTATTCGATTGACTGACTCGAGTTCACCACGGGAGAGATCTGTTCTCGTGTTTATATTGTGCAAGATCCTGTACACACAATCTGGCGCCGTCTGTGGGAAACGACTAATTTTCCTAGTTTCTTCTCTAAAAAGGACAGTGACCATGGTGAATACTCGACACAAGGGGAAAGGTCCCCAACAAAGAAGTATCGATTTGCAAGCTCCTCGTCATGATGGAGGGAAGGGTCACGCTGATGACAACAGAAATATCTCTATTCAGTCAAGGGGCTTGCTCCTCAAACCAGTATGGGCATCAGGTCAAGAGGATCTGCCCCCTTGGCTCGTCAACTGGCAGAGGTGATCGAAGAAAAATTTGGGGATCGATTACGACAGTTGGAAAAAGACAATGTGAATGTCCTAAGCCGGCTCAATGAATTCGCCACCTCCGGCGAAGGGTCGAGGGACTCGTTCCCTTCTCGTGGACTCCCCGCCCGAGAAACAGAAACTGAGGACCTAAGGGATCATTTAAATAACAAGGCTGAAGGCTCCAGGGCCCCGAAACGCCAAGAGCCAACGAGCACCCCCTCGACGACTATTCCAGGAAGGCAAGGCCTTTAGCCCCGAACAACCTCCGGCGAGGGCTGTCAAGGCAGAGGAAGGGAGACGAGTCCGAGAAGTATTCAACCCTTTCCACGCGACGCCCGAAAAAGGGGAACCCAATCAATGAACCCGGAGACCTCAGAAGACATCCCGTTGGGGAGGAAATTGATCTCAGAGCTCGGGTGGAATCCAGGAGAAAGGGTAAGGTTGTCCAGGATAATGTCGAAGACGAGGTCATACAATCACCTTTATCAGGGATATCGGAGAGATGGAGGTTCCAAAAAAGTTCGTCGTGCCGAGGTTCAAAACTTACGATGGGCGGTCCGATCCCGAAGCTCACCTCAGGCAATACAAGCAAATGATGTCCCTATATCATTCAGACCAACGGTTCCTCTGCCGAGTATTTTTCATGAGCTTGGGGGACTCCATGATGAAGTGGTTCGAGGCTCTTCCCCCCAACAGCATTGGATCATGGAAAGAGTTGACGAGGCAGTTCCTAGCCCGATTCATTACGAGGAGTAAGCGGCCTAAAGACGTTGGATCATTACTAACACTCAGACGAAGGGAATCCGAGACCCTTCGCCAGTACGCCATCCGGTACTAGGAAGAGGTTAATGAGGTAGAGGGCTGCTCGGAAGTCATGGCAGCGACGTCTTTCAGGCTCGGCTTGGCAAAAGACACGAACCTGTACCGATCCCTGACCAAAAAAACTCCCTCGAATATGGGCGAGCTGATGGCCCAATAAATAAATACTCTAGGATCGAGAACGAAATGGGAAGCAGCAAAGGCAGAACCCTCCAACCTAAGAGAAAAGAGAGGGAGCGGGAGGATACTTCTCAGAAGGGGCTGTTACCCCCTTCGGGGGGGTCATTCAAAGGTGTTCAGACTATGTTTAAAGAACTCATCTACAAGTTGCTCCACAAGATCAAGCATGAGCCATTCTTCAAGTGGCCGCCCAGAATGCAGAGCGATCCCTCCACCCGTGATCAAAAGGTCAAGTGTTCCTCTCACCAGGATTTCGGCCATCTCACCAAAAGTTACAGGGTATACAAGTCTTTCTTGAAAAGGTTGGTCCAGGATGGTTACTTAAAAGAATACATAGAACCTGAGTCAGAAGAGAGACACGTCCCTGCCCCGGCCAGGGAGCTAGATAATGTCATAGACGTGATCCATGTATGTCCACTGGATCGCCCAACGTCCAAGGAACTCGAGTCCGATCTCAAGAGTAGCATTTACGAGAAAAATTACCAAGAGTGATGGGGGGCCGCCCAGCAAAAGGATCAGGATTACCGAGTCGGGCATCACTTTCTCCGACGCGGACTTAGCGGGCGTGGTGACTCCCCATAACGATGCCCTGATCATAACCCTGAAGATAGGCAAATTCGACGTCAAGAGGGTGTTGGTGGACTCCGGGAGTTCCTCGAAGTGATGTACTCAAATACTTTAAAGCGGATGGGTTTCGGCCTCAAGGACCTTACCAAGGTCAGGACGCCTCTCGTCAGATTTAACGGCTCATTCGTCTTGCCCATAGGCAAAATCACATTGCCAATTGTCACGGGTCCCTTCACCATCAATACGGAGTTTGTGGTGATCGATACGGACTCTCATTATAATGTGATCATGGGACGAGCATGGTTGCATGCCCTGGGAGCAGTACACTCCACTTATCACCAAAAATTAAAATTTGCTACGCCAGAAGGGATCATGGAGATCCGAGGGGATCAAGCGTCCGCGAAGAACTATTTTTACTCGGCTGTAAGAGCAGGGATTTTCACCCAAGATAAGGAGCGCCCTCCGGAAGAGATCCTGGAAAAATAGTAATCACAGTCTGGGCGTCCAGGAATGGATGACCCCCGGATTGACCCAACAGAACGGTCGATGGAGGACCTCCAAAAGGTGCCCTTGGTGGAGAGAGAAGAGGAAAGGTACTTCTTGGTTGGAACCGCGATGCCCACAGCCGAACAGGAGGAGATGATTGACTTCTTGAGGGGAAATACAGATGTGTTCGCTTGGAACACAATGGAGATGAAGGGAGTGGATCCCAAAATTATCACCCACAAGCTGCATGTTAACCCGGAGCACAAGCCAGTAAAGCAGAAGCCACGACGCATGGCGCCGCACCACGCCCGAGCAGTCAACGAAGAGATCGATAAACTCCTAGAGGCCAATGCCATCCGGGAGGTACAGTTCCCGGAATGGCTGTCTAACACGGTCTGCGCGAAGAAAAAGGAGGGAAAATGGCGCGTCTGCGTAGACTTCACTGATCTAAACAAGGCATGTCCCAAGAATGACTACCCCCTGCCAAAGGTGGACCAGTTAGTAGATGTCACTACCGGATATCAACGCATGGACTTCTTGGATGCCCGAGCAGGATATCACCAGATCCCTCTCCACCCCCGGATCAAGAAAATATGGCGTTTATCACTCCAAGGGGAGTTTACTGTTACAAAATGAAGCCGTTTGGGCTGAAGAACGTCGGGGCAACATACCAAAGACTGATGAATCAGATGTTCAAAAAACAGATCGGCAACACCATGGAGGTCTACGTTGACGATATGTTGGTGAAGAGCAAATGAAGCTGTAACTACCTGGTAGATTTGGCAGATACATTCTCCACCATCAGGGAGTACAAGCTGAAGCTGAACGTCGCAAAGTGCATTTTCGGAGTAGAGTCGGGTAAATTTCTTGAATATCTGGTAAGTCAGCGAGGAGTCGAAGCTAATCGGATCAGATTCAAGTGATCCTAGACATCCGGAGCCCCCGAACTGTCCGAGAAGTTCAAAAGCTCACGGGGATGCTGGCAGCACTTAACAGTTTCGTCTCGCGCTCCTCAGACAAATGCAAACCCTTTTTTGGAGCCATAGGGGGCAAGGAAGGATATGTGGAGCCAAGGGTGCGAAGACGCCCTGACAGGAATCAAGGAATACCTCAGGACTCTCCCGACCCTATCTGTCCCTATCCAGGGGAAAATGTTCTTCTTGTACTTATCCGTATCAAAATTTGTCATCAGCGGAGTACTTATTCGTGAACATGAGCACCGCTAGAAACTGATTTATTATATAAGCGAGGCGCTCCTAGACGCGGAGACAAGATACCTGCCCCTAGAGAAACTGGCTCTATCCCTGGTCACAACTGCAAAAAACTAAGACATTATTTCCAGGCGCACCCAATTACCGTCCTTACCGATCAACCCTTAAAGGCCATTTTGAGGAAGGCAGACCTCTCTGGAAGGATTTTCAAGTGGGCAGTGGAGCTGGGGAAACACGACA